GCAAAGTGGTGATGGAGTAACTCGAACACCTGTCAAATAAAGTCCGCTGAAAAGTAAAAACCCTCTCCAAAACCTGCTTCACACGACCTCGACCGATACTCACGCCGGAGTTCTTGCTGGAAACTATATATCTGACCGTTTCTTCACAATATCAGGCGTAAGGCAAGGCTACATTCTCGGACCATTTCGATTTTGCCTGGCTATGGACTACATTATACAAAAGTCAGTGCGTAGCGTCAAAATATCAGTTGGAGGCAGTACATTCACAGAGTTAGACTACTCAGTTGGCGACGAAATTTTTTACTCTGATTTAACTTCGACAACAACCATTCCTTTAAAGATATGACTACTAAGTTTGGTTTAGCACCTTTATGAGATAAGACAAAGTTATAAAATTTAGCCGTAAGTCAGCCGACTCAAAAGATAGCTGCAGATAGCCGCAGAGTAAAAGCGGTTAGTGAATTCGTTTACGTGGCAATGTTGCTCTTGGTGATAGCAGTCAGATATGCTACGCAGAATTTGATTGGCTGCTTTTATGATGGGATCACTGGTGCACATCGGCGATTGTCAAAGCGCAGTATCAAGACCCACCTCCGTTTTCCTTAAGCACCGGGGGCACCCGTCATACTTTTAGAACATGAAGCCTAAACTGCGGAAAGAAGGATTCAGCAGGTGTCAATCGTTCTGCATGAAATGCCGAGGACAACTGTTGAACATCAAATGAACAGATTGAATTATGTAGACTGAAATAAACAAAAGAGCACACCCATGGCAGGTGGAAGCCTGCGATACGAACAACTTATCTTCAAAGAGTTTAACATATACCAGAAGAAAAAGAGGTTTGTGAGGTCTTAAAGATGTCCGTGACTTAGAACGTGGGATCGAGCGCTCATTCGCACAGAAACGACTACATGGCCTTTCACCGGTCAAGGAAGCCGTGGTTACAGCAGTTGTTAGCACAATCACACTGTGGTAATAAACCATTTATCTGCTTGATACTGTAATGGTCCTCATTATTTATGCGTTCATTTGTCAGGTCTTGCTACCTGTGACTTTAGTCAAAGCGATCTGCGTCCGTACGAGTGCATCGTAGACCACAAACGTCCTGTTTGCAGATCTGACAGCATTATGCTGTCTAATTGTTTATTAGCCATTCGTAGAAAGACAGCTTACATTTATGGAACAGTACAACTTTTAAAACAAAGAATTCTGATTCAGACCTAATGAATCCGAGCCACTCTAGTTCAAGCTTTTTCAGTTTTAAATGATATAATACAACAGCGGATCATTCACCAAATTCATCATTCGCCATCATTCATTTGCTACTAATCCTTCAGGTAGTTCGACAGAAGCACATTGAATTGACTTCTTAGCGGCAATAACAGTGCGTGCAATCATCGATTCGGTAGAATAACGACATTTTGCCCTGTTTCGCAAGTTTCTATACGCATAATTTCCTTGGCTGAATTTATTCAAACGGCATGGCAAATGACCTTTACTCCTTATTTTTCATACCATCGATCTAACGTTGTTTGAAACTTGTCCTGTCTAGCAAATGCATAATCACCATCTGCTCAGAGAATAGGTGGTTATGTCACAATTCATAATAATGTTCATGGGAATTATATCACAATTCATAATACTGTTCATGGGAATTAATAACAAGCATCATGGCTCAAAATTTGTACGACTTAGATGAATTACTTACTTAAAAGAACTAATTGCTTATAAAAGAAGCTTACACCATCGCTTACCTTCATGGTTTTTTAAAGGCAGTTTGTCTGCGTTAATTTCCGGGTTAGCGACTTGCAACCTGTTTCTCGGCTGTTAATTTGACCTAATGATTTTCTATATTCTATGATGCGTACAAAAGCGCGCATCACAAACCTAGCAACGTTGTGTCAGATTTGCTGTGTTTTCTTGAAATCTACAGCTCTGGAATGTGTGGGTTGATCCTCAGAAAAACATTCTCTAGCAGATGATTCACCGCTTATTGTATCAGACTGTTACACGTGTCTTATGTTGCTAAAGCCTTGGCCTATCTCATGAATAAACAGTAATTTGGTTGACACGGAGACCATTAACATAATCGCTGCAGCCATTGCTAATGACAATAACAAAATAACAACAAAAATGATTGATAATTTTTATCGACATTTAGACTTTGTTTATCCTCTTCTTCTCTTCGAACTGAACGAACTTGCACATAAGTACTGTGATATATGCTTCTAAGTTGTTGTTTCTTTATCTTACGCTGGGTAGATCTCTATAACCTTTTCTTGAAAAGTAAATTGTGGCCATCTGCTATAGTAATAAATGTGACTTAATTTGATTGGCGTCGGTGATTTATGCCCTATT